TTCCCCAGCACTGTTCCCAACCCCCCAATTCCCCAATAAAAATCTTAAAAAAAAAAACAAAAAACAGCCTTTGTGGGGAAAAAAAAAAAAAAAAAAGGTAATAAGCCAGATTACGTGCCTCATCTCTCGAGACTGGAGTGCTTTCCCATCTCACTCTAAGTAAGAGCCAGTCTCTAAATGCATACACTGTCTCACATCCCCTGCTGCCCCTCCACCTCTCAGCCCGTCTCCTCCTCCTGGCTGTTTCCTGTCTGATCACCCCCCACCCACACTAGGTTTCCATTTTGTTTGCTGCTGCAGTCCCAGCACTCCACAGGCCAGGCCTTTACCCATTTTCCTCCACATCATATCCCCAGCACCAAGGACAATGTGTGATATTTAACAGGTTTTGCTAAATGACTTAGAAGACTTGGTAACAAAATTTGGATGATATCGAAGATACAGGACTGACAGACAACTCTGAGTGGAAAGACAAGAAGCATAAGATGGTTAACGACAGAGCAAATACATCTTCCCATCTTGACTGCCCTGCCTATGATGCAATCGCCATTCAGATAGGAGCCTTTTACAGAGAATGACTGCTGTAGTATAGAAGTAGGTGTTATGATAATAAAATTCCTTCTGAACACTCTGTGGTAAAAAGATCACCAAGGGCTCTGTTACTACAGGTCACTGGACAGGCAGTGAGAAGCAGAGAACAGCTCTTCGCAATGGTCTCCATTATAATAATATAATACTATCTACCTACAACTATAAAGTGGCTTAAGTGTCAGAAGGAGAAGGGAAGAGGAAAGAAAAAAAACAAGTAATTTAACTTGAGGAAGATAAAAAACTTCTAAAATGCTGATCTTTTCCATTTTTACTGTTCTTATGCCAACAATCAGGAAAGTCTCTGGACACATAAATAAAAGGCCTCCTTGGAAAAACTTCCCCACCCAGGTTGAAAGTCGCATTCCCATGAGGTTTCGGGGGCAACAGGGAAGTAAACTGGGACTACAGTGTCTAGAGAGAATGTGGAACATCCCATAATACAGTTCTCAATTAGCTCTAAATTCTAAACAGTGTTAAGTAGGATAAAAAGAAACAAAAGGGAACAATGTTTTACCTTTCCAAACCAGCCATTTCCAATTTCCTGTATATAGTTTAGACTGTGGCGGGCAACTTGAGACTTCAAACCTTCTGTAGGAAAAAGAACATTACAAACCAAATATAAGTATTTAACTGAAATAAAATAAAATTTAAAAAGTACAAACACTAATGTAAATTTAATGTTTGTGCTAATAAAGGGAGAAATGCATAAAACATATCTTTCAAACTAATAATGCCAAAAAAAGTTCCAAGTTTTAAAACTGATTTTTTTTTTTTTTTTAAGATTTTATTGGGGAATTGGGGGAGGGGGAACAGACAAGTTGCTGTCCTTTTGTTCTTCAGCCTAGTTGTGGAGGACGTCGCTTCACTGGCCCATGTTGGTATTATCATTGTGCTCTTCCTGGGTGAGGCAGATCAGTCACTAGCCATTGGACGGCCACTCACGGCAGCTCTTGGAAGCTCACACTGGCTGCCGGCTGCTCATGCTGGCTGCCGGCCACACACAGTAGCTTATGGCAGTCCACTGCAGCAAGGGCTGCAGCCTACGCCAATCGCGGGCAACTCATGGCAGCCCAGCTCCAGGTCGAGCTGTTGTTCATCATCTTAGCTGTAGTGGGCAGTGTCACTGGCCCTCATGTGGGATCTGAACCGGGGCCCTGCTGCTCAAAGCTGGTGTCCCAAGCCAGCTCTTAACCAACGCGCCACTCGGCCAGCCCTTAAAACTGACGATATTTTTGAATGAGTATCCTACCCTGCTTCTCTAATACCTTACACTGTGTTTTCTGATCCGAGTACTCTTCAGTAAGCTCTAATCACCATTCCATTGGCCTTGACCTAGTCCTTGGTTTTATGGTACAGCAGGGACTCCCAGGACTGTCCCTCCCAATCTTAAGATGAAAAGTCAATCTGATTAGCGTATTCAAATACACCCCTCCTCCCAAACACAGGACATCCCAGTAGAAGACAAGCAGTGTTGAGAACTGATAGAGAAGAAACTTGTCTCCTAAAATAGAGGCAGGAGTTCTGTCTGAGTTCCATTTCAATGAACTGAGACCAGTTTATTCTTGGAACCCAGGGTCCAAAGGGAAAGAACTCGGCTTTTGCAGGAATGCAATGGGCCTGTCTCTTCCGGCTCACCAGGGAGCAGAGGGAAGAGAAATAAGCAAGCAGAGGAGACGGGCAGTCCAATTACTTTATGGTTAGCAGCAAGGTTCCCATTCTCACTTCTCAGAAATAACTCGTGAAAACATGACATTAGGACATAAGGTCTTACCTACAGAAGGCTGAAACTGTGATGGAGCTGGTAGCGAAATATTTGGTACTGAAAGTGTGAAAACTTCTGCTGGGGATTGAACGGAGGGAGTATCTTCTGCTGGTGGTGTGAAATCTATCTCATCATCAAAATTATCTTCAAATTCCTAAAATAAAAGCAGAGCTATGTTATACCTAATATAAATCAGTTTGAGGACAAATATTAAAAAACATTTGCTAGTATTTAGATATGAACTTTTAGTCACTCATTTGGAACACATGGCCTTATTTTCCCAATTCATGCTTATTTCAAGTAAAAAGTATATGTGATTCTGTTTTCCAACTCCCAAGTAACAGAATAAATAAGATTTGAAAATAAATTATATATATTTTTATGTAACTTTTTTAACTGATAGCTTGAAGTTAAATGCAAAATGTTCTATGACCATGGAACATAAAATGGAAATACTCTTCTAGGTTCAAAATTTTAAGTTACTATAGTTTAAGTTATTCTTTATTATTATGCACTTTCATAGATCTCCTTGCATAGTGAACCAAAGTAAATTTATTTTAGTTTAAAATTATACATGCATTTCTAGTTGCAATGTGACTTCAATCAAAACAAGCACAGTTAAGACTCAGAAAAGATATTTTTAAGTGAGTCCTATTTCTCTGGAAAGAACAGAATGGAAAAGTTACTAAATTGAGTAGAAAAATTATCAAGATCTGAACCATCAAGGTTCATATAAAACTGCGTAGTCCTTAAGTACAATTAACACTCTAAGAACATTTGGTTTTCTCCAGATGGCAACCTTCCAATGGAGGCTCACCAACACAGCAGCCTGCTCCTATCATCACTGCAGTGAGATGGGCCTATCTTGGTGTCCATGTTAACTCAACACAGATACAGATGATTATCAAGGTCACTCATTCGCACAGGTTAATTAACGAGTATTATTCCACCAGGCACCATCACAGAAGCTGAGAACAGATCAGTGAACAAGACTGCTTTCCATTCCTCTACAGAACATCCTTCTTTTCATTTTCCATCACTTCCCTTTGCCCCTATACAAGGAAGAAACTAAAAGCTATAAGGATGGATCTCTGAAATAACACGTATGTTCTCACATGCTTGTGAGGGGACATTATTCTCATATGTTACATACGCATCAGGACATTATTGCTATTTGTAGCAGGGGAGGGAGAACAAGACAAATGAGGTACCATGACTTCAACCTGTGAGGACACCCCTAAACAAAAGAGCTGTGTTCAACTTTCCCTCTGGACATTCCTAAAGGCTATTAAACAAGACTTTATCCATCACTCCTACCTTAGAAATAATACCACTCAAAACTGGCAGCAGCATGATAAACCATTAGGCTGCAGATGATTCTAAAGATTCCAAGAGGGAATACAGTGTATGTGTATATATACACATATATGTACACACACAGACACACACACACACACACACACACACACACATACACACACACACACACACACGGTGCCAAAAAAATGTATATACATTTTAAGAAAGGAAAACTATTAAAACTGTAATAATCAATACATACTGACAACAAAAGATGAATACAAGTCATGTTTGACTCCTGCAATTACAAGAGGTGCTCAAAGTGGTTCCCATCAGCATCCAGACACTTCTGATGAGTGAACTACTGCTCCAGCAATGTGGACCAAAGTGTCCACTTGTGTACATTTTCATTTTTTTTGGCACCCCTGGGGTGTGTGTGTGTGTGTTAATGGGGCTATGAGAGAAGACTGGGTCACTTTTAAAGTTATGCCCGTGGTTATATGGATGCACTTGGGCAGGTCACTTATTTTGCCAGACTGTAGCTTCCTGGTCTGTAAGATGACTTCCAAGGAACCTTCACCTCTAAAACTGCACAGTTCTAAATCTAAAGGAAACCTAAAAACACCAGGTGGTGATGCTCTCCTTCTGTCGCATAGTTTGTAGAGCTGGACAGGATCCTCTAGGTGTGGTCCCTGGGCCGCCTGCATCAGAATCACCTGGGGAAGCCTGGTAAAAACCCAGACTTCCTGAATCTGCATCATAATAAACGGCCTCCGTCAATACTGAGATTCAGTGGGGTTAGAACAATCTAAGACAGGAAGGAGGTATCATGACATGTGAGAGACAGGCTGGGTTGCAGTTCCATCAACACTGATCAGACTTTATCTTTGTCCCCACACGGCCGGGTGTCTGTGGGGACAAGACAGTCAAAGACCTGGATCCTCTGCCTACCACTGTGCCCCCGTGTGGTGCAGTCGTTAAGTTCCCACAGAGGTGTCTGCAGTGACTGCAGGGACTGGGGGTTGATGTGAATAAACCCTACAGGTTTGGGCAGAATCTTCGAGAGAACATGACCCTACTAGTGGGACGTCTCCTCCAGGCTTCCTCTGTTCTAACCTGCTGTGTGCACAATGCTAGCATCGAGCCACAAGGACAGCACATGTCCTTACCTCTAAGAGCTGCTGCCACTCACGATAAAGACAACACACGATGGAAACAAGGGGGAGGCGCTAGAAATGAGGTTCACATACCCACTAAAAAGGGTTAAGCTAGAAGACAGCTTCCTCTTTTCCCAATCTGAACCTGTGGCCCTGAGGACCACGGGGGCAGCCCAAGTACAGCTAGGATTCTACGTGAAGGCCATTTCTCTGCACGCACGCATTCTTTTCACAAGTGTCCAATGAACCCTAAAGCACGCCTGCAAGCATGTAGTAAATTCTAGGACAGGATGTCCCAGCTGGGCGCCAGCAGATTCCGCCCATCTGCGACTACACCCCCAGCCCCCTGGACTTTACACCCCCACTCTACCCCCACACACACCAGTACTTACAACTGACAGCATTCTTCTTTCTCCCCTTTAGGGAACTCGAGGGTTGAAGGTATACAGAGAGATGCTCTCCTCATACACAAAACACTCCGAGGGATCCCCTTGGCCTCAATCATCTTAACAACCACAAACTCACCATCATACAAAAGTTTGGGAAAAAATCAAAACCAGCCAGCTCTTCCTGATAGGACCTATAGCAAGCGAATTCAGTCATGCTTTATTCCTCCTTTGTCAAAACTTACAATTGTCAATAACGCTCTAAGGCAGGGTGGGCAAACTCCAAACCATCTATTTTTACCAATAAAGTTTTATTGGCACACAGCCACAACCATCTGTTTATGTGCTATCCACAGCTGATGCAGCGCTCCAGGGGCAGAGCTGAGAGTTGAGTAGCCACGACAAGAGCCTGCATGGCCCCGGGTATTTACTATTTACAATGGCAGGACACACTTACTATCTGGCTCTTACAGAAGTTTGCCAAGCCCTGCTCCCAAGGGACTGTGACATACAGCCATTCAATTGATAAATGCATCAGAGGATGATTTTAAATGTTCCTACCATCTGTGCTCACCTTAAAATCTATTTCTGGGTCCTTACAGCAGGATACACAGTTTGCAATTAACACGATTAATATTATTAAACTGCACACAGACAGGATCACAAAAGATGAGGGAACTTCTATAGCAGGCGACTCTCCTGTAAGAGAAATAGATAATATTAACAACATGGACATTCCAAAATTAACTTTAATAAGCAGATCAATGTATTTTCCACCAAATGTAAATGGGACCAAGAGTTAATAAAATAATGCTTAAATTCTCAAGATAAACCTAATGACCAATCCAGGATAAGAAGTTAGGGTTTTTAAAAAACTTTTTATTTTGAAACCATCTTAGATTTATAGAAGAGTTGCAGAGACAATACAGAGTCCCCATTTACCCTTCCCCCGGCTTCCACTAACATAACACCTTCCGTTTCCATGGTGCGTTTATCAAAACTGAGACAATAACACTGGTACACCACTACCAATAGGACCTTAGACTTTATTCGGATTTTACCAGTTTTCCCATCACATCCTTTTCCTTCTCCAGGATTCCGTCCAAGCTACCAACACTGCATTTAATCATGTCCTCGGAGTCTCCAACCTCTAATGTTTGTCATCTTTCCTTGTGTTTCATAACTGTGACACTTTTGGAGAATGTTGCTCAATTTGGGTTGCCTCATGATTGGACTGAAGTTACAGGTATGCGGGAAGAATCTAGAACTGCCTTTTTCATCAATCACACCAGGGGCACATGATGTTGGCATGACTTATTCCTGGTGGCATGGACCTTGGACACATGGCCCAGGGGGTTTCTGCTGGGCTTCACCACTGTGAAGGTACTTTTCCCTTTACATCCTCTGTTCCTTAAAAGCAGGTCACCGAGTCCAGTGCACACTCACAGGAAAGGGAATTAAGCTGTACTTCCTGGAGGAAGAAATATTACAGAATTTGTAGACATGCTGAAACGACTACACTAATTAATATTTGGGGGGCACTTTGAGGCCATGCAAATATCCTGTGTCGCCTTAAAGTTTTGCACTCTAATTTTCACATTTGTCACTGCGTCTTGTCTGCAGCAATTCATACTATGATGTTTTAATGGTGATTTTCTATTTCTCACATTCCTTCTACATTTATTACTTGGGATTTTTCTATAAGGAAGATTTGTCCCTTCTCTCTCACTTATTTATTCAGTCACTTATATAGTTATGCTCATACTTATTTTATATTCTTCGGGTTATAATCCAGTATTATCATTATTTTGTCATGCAGATTGTTCCAGCTTTGGCCCTTGGGAGCTCTTTCATGTTGCCTACTGGGTCTTTTGGACATGCCCCATCCTTTTCTTTTTTTTTTCTCCAATACTCCCTCACTTTTGGGCACAGCAGGAAGCTCCAAGCTCTTCTCGTATTTTCGTACTCCAGCTTTACAATCAGCCACTTCTCCAAGGAACCTTGGTCATAATAAGGAGCTTTTCTGCTAGAGCAGGGGTCTGCAAACCCTGCCTGGCGCCTCTTTTTGCACGGGACGGGGAGGCGGCTAAGAATGATTTGTATATCCTTAAAGGACTGTTTTCAAAACAAAACAAAAAAATATGCAACACACGTTGCATGTGAGCCACAAAACCTAAAATACTTCACTATCTGACCCTTCAGAGAAAAAGTGTGCAATCCCTGTGTAAAGCATAAAGATTTTTACATCTTCCTTTCAGCAAGGACTTAGCTATCCGGAAAACATCTCATCCAACTGGGGCTATTTTGAACATTTTCTTTGTTAGAGCAAAGTGTTAAGTCACCTACTGGTGCTTTACTAAGAAAGATCCCCCCACCCGACGCCAGCTTTACTGAGATGTAACTAACACATAGGACGGTGTTGTTTCAGGGGTACAATGCGATGACTTGATATTCATGTATATGGCAAAACGAGTTCCACAACAAGGTCAGCAATAAACTTCCCCTTAGAACCATCTGCTGTTAATTATGTGCTCAAACGCACCAAGGGGAAGGAAGGCATGGAGACAATTTCATGAACAATGCCATTGCTTTTCTTAAGCGACACTGTAGTACCTGAAGAAAACCTAATCCAAGCTCCTATGTGAGCAATGACATTCTTGAATATATAATGACTTCAGTGAAGAGCAGGGAAGTCTAAAATCAACAGCAAACAGGACTAAGTTCCTTTTTAACAACAAAAGGTCTATTTTTGAAAGAGCAATGCTGAAACACGCCTTGTTACTAGTGGGGCTCAGATTCTGGCTGAAGCCTTAAGTCTGCAATTAAAAATAATTTAGTCAACCAAAGTTTGTTAAGAGTCTGCAGGTTCGAAACTGACCAAATCTAAAACGGGAAAATCCATACATTCAACACAGAAAAGTGATTTGGTGATTCCTGTCAAAAGCCAATCTGGAGAGAAATCAACTTTCATTGAGAGGGAGAATTCCCAAACTACAGTTACTTATTTGTGTACATTTCAAAAACTAAACTGAGGCCCAAAAGCCAACTTTTTATGAATGAAGATCCAGAAAGATCACTTTCTTCTCACCTTTCAGCTACCTGCTCTCATATCCAGCTTGGTCTGTGTGTCTCCGCTGGTATTTATTCTTATAACTTTGTTTCTCTTCCCTGACTTATACAGTAAAAATTAAATATGATGCCTGAGGCACATTATAGCAAAGCGCTTTCATATACACTGTATTTTATTGATTTTTACTTAACATCCCTGAATTTCAGGCACATCTTACACTCAAAAGTTGCTTTTCATTGGCAGTTTCTTCTTCCCTAATGGCACAAGAATAAGGGTGTGTCATAATCAATGGTATCTGAGATTTGATAAAAAGCAGCATGATTTCATTTGATCATCACAACACCTCTGAGGGAATCTGACCAGTGCCACGTCTCAGATGAGGACCTTAATATGCCCAAGGACACAAGGTGGGAAAGCAGCAGGGCCAGAGACTCCAAGGTTCAAGGGCGCTGAGTATAAATCCCTGCGCTTCCCTAGGCACCACACTGTTTTCCTCAACAAGGTGAACGCTTAAAAACAGCCTAATCTAAGTGCTTTGAACCCAGTCTGTCATTGTAAATTCTATGAGAGTTCATCCTTCTCGGGCTCGCCTCCAAACTGCACATAGCACGTATTAAATTACTTTTTCCTCTCTTTTCACCCGTAATTTCATCCTCAGACACTATCTATTGATTGTAGAATTTGATCAGAACTGCCTAAAGGCCAGCTCAATTATCTGATTCATAAACCTGTCTTCTGTGAGTCATTAGGTAGGCATGAAAAGTCATGTAAAAATAACTAGTTACGCCACATTATGCCCTTTCCTGATACTTATTTACTCTACGTACATACTTATTTCTGCTAAGACACTGCAGGGACACTCAGATGTCCCTCAATGTACAAGTATACCAGGTCTACTCAACCGCAGTGTATACCAGTCCCACCGAAAAGCCTCTACAAATTACTGCCTAAAAAGGAACTTACTAGGTAGACTTAAGCCAAAATTCTTTGTTTTACCACTTCTACAAACTACTTTATTTACTGTATTTTTCTCTTGATTAGTCCAAACCACTGTGCTTTAAAAATTAAACTCTATATACCAAAAAAGGAAAAACTTCCATAGAATGAAGACATCAACCAAGCTAGCACAGGCTGGAAGGTGAGATGGGTTTGCATAAGCCACAGGGAGGAAGTGAATTCTAGCTGTGAGGAACTACAGCTAAAATCCCCATGGCCCAGTGGTCAAACTACAAGCCAAGCCCCTGGAAGGTTCCTGATTGCAGCTGTTAGGAAACCATGAAGAAAGGGCTTTCCTTGAGCATTCTCAGTCTACAGCATTCAGCAATGCATAAATCAAACCAATCATCTACTAAAGAAAACATCAATAACGACAGGAGTCTCCACATTTAGGCAGCGTGACCGATGACAAACTGAAAACAAGGGTAATTAGAGGCCCGGGTACTTAGTATGCTTCCCCCAGACACCAATTAAAATTTCTTGGCATCTCTAAAACACATTCTGCAAGTTGTCATTTTACAGTTTTCAAACCATTTTAATAGATATCTAGCACTTGATTTAATAAGCAGAAACCTGAAAAACTCTAAGAGGCAGGCACATATCTGTTTTATAGACAGGTAATTTGGAGTACGCAATTTCTCAGTAACGACTCAGAGTAAGTCAGGAGTACTACCTGCTTATTAATTTAACCATTATAAATCCCTGCCTAGAACCTCGATTAGAGCTTAACACATATGTAATTAACTAAAGAGTTACCTGTGGATCCATTTTTGGACTAAATAAAAAAATTTTACATGTCCACAGATAAAAAGAAATGATCAATGCTAGCTAGATCCATTAGAGATTGCAAAATGCTGAATTCCCATTTGGTCATTCGTTCTTCAGTTTCTAGCTGATATACTTTTATAAAGAGAAATTTCCTCATATCTACCGTTTGGTTACCCAGTGGTTCCAGGAATCAGGAGTGGGACTGAAAGTTTGAATCCTCCAATCAGTATTGGTTCCTCTGGCCACGAGCCCCAGCCTGAAGCTATTTAGAGGTCCACCTAAAGTCACTTCATTAGCATAAATTCAGGTATGGTTGAAAGGGGCTTGTTATTAATAACAAGAGATGCTCCGATCGCTCAGGGAATTCCAAGGGTTTTAGGGGCTCCGTACCAGGAAAGGGGACATAGACCAAATATGTTTCTCCTATTATGTCACAGATGGCTACGTTCTCCCCAGCCAGGAAATTCCCTTTGACACATCCCCTCCACTGATTCCTCCTCACCATTCAGATCTCAACTTGGAAACCATCCTTGGGGGTCCCACAGGTTAGGGTCCCTGCCTTTGGACCCACAATGTGCCCTGTATTTCCTCATCATAGGTTATCACACTGCATATTTCAAATGCCCGTATGTCTTCCCCCCTAGACTGCCATCTTAACGGGGTCAGGGACCAGGCTTATACATTCCACTGATGGCTCTCAGGGCCCAGCAGAGCCTGGCATTCAGTCAGAAGTTGGGGGAGGCAAAGAGACAAAAGTGAGACAGACACCAACTAAGGAGCTCCAGCAAGGGAGGGGAGATAGGCAAGCAGTTGGGAGGGGGAAGACATTCGGAATTAAGCCACTTGTTAACAGAACAGACTTATG